TTGGTGAACCTCAGGTAAGCAACACCAGGGGTCAAAAGCACCTCACCTGCTGCAGCTTAGAGATGCACATACTCCAGTAATTTGAACCAATTTAGTCGCCTCTTACGATCACGCAGAGATTAACGGTGGCTGCATTTCTGATGCGGCCTCAGTCAAGGTAACCTCTCAGTCAAAAGGGGACATTTTTAGAAGCATGTTAAAATAACATACGAAGTATATAGTGGTTACTCAATGCATTAAAGCGTGATCTAAAATTGCGTGCTAAAAATGCCAAGTCTGGGGATAATGTTATTCGTTCATCAAAAAGGATATTCCAAGTTGGCAATAGTACATGTATATGGTATTTTTAATAAGTCTTTTTATAATACTTCAATAAGACTTTTAAGTTGGGTTTTTACGTCGCTTTAACATTGTAAAGGTCGTGCTGTATTCGTGGAGGAAGACCCACTGAGCATTTTTTCAGGCACGAACGGGCATCTAAGTATACCACCGACGTTCTGTACGATACCTGGATAGCTTTCACACATAAAAAATGCAAAGTTCCTGGCCAGTTTTTAACACACAGCGGTTAGATCAAGCGTTTTGAATTGATTTCAATTTAACATAAATTGAATTATGTGAAATATAGATGAGGATTAAAAACTAAAATACTAAAAATACATTCTATTAATACCCTCAAAATTGAAATCATGTATCTTACCAGTTTCTATATCGTTAAATGCCGTTATATAATTTGATGGAGCATATTACATAACATACTAGTATTCTATTCTAATATCAGAGTTTTATAATAAAAAGAAAAGTTAAAGTGTAAATAAAGTCAACATAGCTGTTATATATAGGGTAGACAGCTCAATTTGATATTAAAATAGTTTCAGTTGAATTATTCCGCTTGTCTGGGCTGCAAAAATATCAGCAAAATGATACTGGTATTCTATTGAAATTTAAGTCGTTTAATAAATTATAAAGCTTTTTTGGAAAAGTTTTTGTCATTACCATGCATACTAAAGAACCTTCTGAAAAGGAAGTCAATTATAATCATAACATAAAAAACTTAAACATTTATTTCTGCTGAAATATTATATACATTCAGGAAAGCTAATAATACATGTATATTGAAATAGCATGGACTTTATAATACTGCACGTTTGTAACGTCGCATTTCGTTGGATTATCGTGACGTTTATATAACCTATGAACACGGCTGCAGACGATTTATGAAGTAATTTCCACATTGCAAATGGTACTTACAATCCACGTAAAGAATTAGCCTTACTGCGCAGGCAGAAGAAATATGTTGAAAACTACTGCAAAATCAGTAATGTGTCGCACAAAATAGAGAAAATATGAATCCCTTTAAGAAATTCCAAAACGGCAAAATTGAAAATGTTGCAGACTCGGTTTGATTGAGCCTACCGTCCACGTCCCCCACCCCATCCCCAGAACTGGCTTTAGCAGAATTAAACATTTAAACACGACATGGTAAATCTTGAATTTAGAAACATCCGCTGACGGTTATGGAGCATTCAATGTGACACAGTAGTACCATTCCATGAAATAGAGAACAACAGAATTCCTAAAGAAAGCCCAACACGGCAAAATTGTAAAATGTTGCAGGCTCGGTTTGATTGAGCCTGTTCATGGACGGTAGTGGAAAGTGTAAGATACCGTCCACGCCCCCTAGCACCGGCTTAAGCAGAATTCAACATTTAAACATAAAAAATGATGACATTTTGAATTTAGAAATATCCGCAGATGTGTTCATGCGTCTGTTTTCAAAATCGATGTGTGAGCCGAAGTCAAAGAATGCGTATGCCCTAAACGAGAAAACAATGGGCGGAACTAAATAAAATGGAATTTTGAAAGGGGATCAGAGGTTATGAAGCCTGCTTATCACAGAAAAGACGTCAAAAGACAAATTTAAAAGACAGGCAACATATCCTAAGGGTGATTGAACATTATTCAAGTAGGAATATTGGAACCACCCAAATCGAAAAAGCCAAATAGATGAAATTTTAAATACCACAAACACAACAATAATGTCGTGTTGAACGATCTTTAAGGATCGGACATATAACATCTCTCATTGAATGTATGGGACGACTTCGTACAGCCTCCACAAGGCACAAACAACGCTGGTGTGGCGATAAAATAGAGAGTAAGAATCCCTAAAGAAATTCCAAAACGGCATATTGAAAATGTTGCAGCCTCGGTTCCATTCCATGAAAAGCGGCGTTTGGGCGACTTTTTAAAGCCTCGGCAAACCATGTTAATCATTACTTGAGTCCTGAATCCTTTTACTTCTTGAAATAATAGTACAGTTTTCTTAAATTTGATTTTCTGGAAATTTTTGGCTTATCTTGGCATGAAGCTTCAAATGAATTTTTTGCTTGAATGTTGCTGAACCTCTTATGTTCAATTTAGAAAATATTTTTTATTACTTCTTATGTCCATTGTAAACTATTCACTTTCTGAAAAGTTGATTGTTATATTCCATTTCCAGCATCACCATGAAAATACCGAAAGTACCTTAGGCAATTGCATCTTTACGTCCCTTTCCGTCAAATTTCGGATAATATCCGAGGAGCTCCGATTGTATCGAAGGACCCCAAGGGAAACAAGCGTGGTACCGGGCTTTCTCTTTTCTGTGTTATCCTTTGATATTAGGATGTTATATCTGTCTATAAACATCGTCACCGAAATTCGATTCGAATTTGTCCCAAATGATGACTTCATGAGAAGCCTGCGTTGATTAATATTAACTTGTAATTTGAAAACAAAACAATAATATGTTTTGTTGCAGCAATATCGACATTTGCCATAATTCTGATGTTCTTTCTTGCTTATAAAATTGCATATTTTGAATTGACAGTATAGTGGAAAAATGGTTTATGAATTTTAAAGACGTACCAGGGTACAAAACACGCGAAAAATGTTTATTTGTTATTTGTTAACAGCTTTTGTTTCACAAAATGATGGGTTATCTTCTTTTAATTATTTTCCGTGTCAATATATGTTATTGTTCGGTTTAGTGACGAATAAATTAACTGACATACTTTATATACAATCTACGTCAATGCGTATAGTATACACTTACACACTTAGTTAAATGTAAACAAATATAATTCATTCATACACATTTCTGTTATTTACTACACTTACCTCAGTCAATTTACCTGTGGTGTGTTGATCTTGCCAATCGTTACGTCACCAGCTATACAATCGCATCTTTTCGGCCCTTTACGTCAAACTTCGTATAATTGATAATAGCCGAAATGCCCCGATTGCAATACTTAGTATTTCAATGTCATTATGCCAAATCACTTTCATTTCCCTCGGTTCGTGCACGTCGTGACGAGGCACAGGGCATCGGAAAATGATTAAAATTCACTGCAGCGTGATACGGCAAGATCGTATGCTTTCTACAGCTCGAGGTTACATTAAAGCTTGAAGTTATCTCCTATGCGGTATCCTTTGCTGGCAACAACAGCCCATATCAGGGCGGCTAACCTCCTTCATTATGCCCAATGACAGCTGTACAGTGAGGCTCATATTTCATTTATATTTGGCTTATACTCTGCATATTGCACGGAGGTAAATTATCACCATTTTGTGCTTCAAAATGTTTGGGGTTCGTACTCGACAGAGTAAGCTTCATTTTGTAGAGAAATAGAAGTCTGTTTAGGATTTTTAAGTCATAATTTCTCCTTATCAGACTATTGAATTTTGTTTTATTTATGTCACGTTGCTAAAAATATATCATTATGTATATTATATATCATTTTCTGAATTCCAAAAACACTTGCGTAGTTGATTTAAATTCCGCAGCGGACTTTGGATTCTATTGATTAAGCAATGTAGCTTGCAGTGGTTACACTCGGGATACCGCTCGTTTTTTAAATAATGTACGAAGGGACAACTGAGTTCCTCACACACCAGTAAAGTTTGTAAGTCACCGTATAACTTTTACATTGATGGTGTCACTTAAAATACAAAAGCATGTACGTTGTTTAATTTACCTCATTACCATAACGCCATTATCACACGTAAATAAAGATTCATAGTGAACCTGATATTGTAATTACAAGTAAGAGCAATGGCTCGGCTAGAGCATCGAACTTATGGTAAAGTTACGACATAAAAAAATCCAAAGTATGAGCCCAAAATGTTTGACAGACATATCATTTATAACGCCGGATAAAATGTTACATTTGTCACGCGAAAGGTCGATATCCTAAACACAACCAAAAGGCTTAATGGTGTGTGTATCTCTATCTAAATATATATTTAAACAAAGTTATTTAAGTCAATGGTAGTATATGAACGAAATCTTCTGTTTTATCATAACTCCTCCAATAGCTTGTTAATGACTTGTCATTTACTTTTGGATGAAGCATTGTGAAATCCGCGAACTTGACAAATGATAAAATATTTAAATAACACAGACAGTTGTGGGGTCATCGCAGGTATGTGCACGAGGCATATCTTAGATTTTTCGATGAAAGCGTACACTCATTTGAGAGTTTTGTGCCAAAAACATTTTAGTATTTATATTGTGTCCATTATGTGAAAACTGTACTGTATAATGTGAATATCAATTTGTCACGGAATGTGATATGCATAATACATTACGTATTAGGTATTATTAGGAATTCACCAAGATATTTTCTGGTTAGACTAAGTATGGCAAAATTTGTTGAACTGTTAAATATCTAAAGACAAGGAATTATGTGTTGAGGGAGAACAATTTCAATCAACATGATGTACTTAAACTTTTTGTAACACCCTCTTAGATTGTTTTACCTGTATATATGCTAATTTAACCATGTAATTATTGGATATATGCTAAAACAACTATGTAATTATTGTCATTAACATATGTTGGTTAATTAATGCCGATGTTCTGCATATGCATTAGACAGAATAAACTTTCTATTCTGTTCTGTTCAATATTGCAATTGAGGTAAGAACAATTGCTAAAAAAATAAAGACAATAATGATTTCAGTGTTCATAATTTTAATAACAAAAACTGTAAGAGATTTACAATCATGTTAAAACAATATACATATAAAAAGCCGTTAAAATATCAAAGGCATATTATGCATCAGAAATCCATAATTTTTCAATTCTTTAGAAATGTCAAATCATGTGTTAAATAATGTTTAAGTAATGGATTTACAGCACGATAGATGTTTTACTATAGAAAAGTTGAAAACGTAGCACTTAACATGCAGTTATTTGTCGTAAAGGTAGCAAACTGTAAACGAAGAAGTATTTTCAATTCCATACAAAATACTAGTTCTCTATAATTATACCAATTGCCACAAAGCAAAAGTTGCAAAAGATAGTTCAGGTATATAGCAAATGAGTATATTTTTTGGAAACTGCTACAAGATATGAAAAGTAACAGTATTTTTGAGAAATGTAAATGATTTCTGAGGCATAATGTGCCTATTATATGCGGGCTGTCTATAACCCTGTTAATGTCTAATATCATTTATTATATGTAGATCTATATAAATAGTAATACATATCTTTATCATAGTCTTTTCATTCAGTTATGTTAAAATATAAATATAACTAATATCTTGCTTAAGATAACTGTTTTGGTTTTTGTATTATTCAACGAATAACACATATTATATAAAAAGCATATTGGTAAATATTTAACCATTGCAATATTACTTGTTATGCTAACTAAAAATAGAAATTGACAAATTAGTAATTAGAAATAGAGCAAGGATTTTGAATGTATATAACATATGAAAGCATCTATTTATATGAAATTGCATTGATTTCTTGCAAACATAAATGCACGAAACACACTTAATATAAACATGTATGCAAACATTCTAATAATACATTTTTAAATGAAGATAGAATAGAAAAGTGAAAATACATGGCAATCCTCGTGATTTAAGTCTTTAATTATATATATCATATCAGTAATCATATTGTTTAAGTTATATCATATTAAAGTGTATAAAACTATATCTATCTTTATTGCCGGCACTTTTCAAAACTTTTGTTTCAAATTAAAAAAACCACTAACATTCCTATATGCCAAAATATATTGGTATATTTTCTTTTGAGTGAATTAATCATGCACGAAATCACTGCTAAACGGTTGATGACCTACTTAAAATAGCAGCATTGCATTTTGTTCCAAAACATTTTATTCTGGTTTCAGTAAAATATTCATGCGTATTAAATAATAGAAACATTCTATGTTACAATTCATATGAGAATCGACCAAAAGATTTTTGAAACAACATAATCTTATCATTTTTAAACTTTATAAAATTATTTTATTAGATATAGCTTCATACCCTTTACAAAAAAACAACTTTTCATGCCCGTCCTAATTTAAATCAGGTGTGTTTAGTAACAAAAACATTTTATTTTACAATTCTTTTGATAATCGACCATGAGATTGAGAAAATAACATAAACTTAACCGTTTTTACACTTTAGAAAATAATTCATTAGATTTATCTTTACACCCTTTAAAAACTTATCATTTAATAGCGTCCTATATTGAAATTCAAGGTTAACAAAAAGGCATACTGAATGCTAAATATCAAACTAACGAAAGAACATGCCCTTGTAAAGAAGAGAACATCAATCCATGACTTTTTGACCAGACATTTTTTCTCTCAATAAAAGACTACAAATTCGTGTTTTTCATTGTTATGTTTAAATTTCACAAATCATTAGTTAAGCAAAAATATGAACGTTTGTTTTCGCCGACTTAATAAAACATAGTTTCTTCTTATTACAATCAAAGATACATTTTGCATAAAATAGTTCTTTGCAGGAATTCCAAATAATTGAATGTGAACATTTATATGGTTAATACAAATATTTTTCCAGAACAATTTATTATCAGCTGATTAATATAAATAAGTAATATCGGATCATGTATCTAAAAAAATATCCATATATAATTCTATAGTGGTTTGTTGTTATGTATGGTATTAAATACTCCAAACATAATTCAGAAAGAAGATACTACTACTAAAGAAGATGCTACGCAGTTACAATAATAATATTAGCTGTTCAGTTTGGAAACCAATATAATTCTTGAACCAACAATTTTTGAATAACAAAATTATTCAATCTAAGAACAAATATATTTGCATTTATTGCGTATCTGATCAATGTGCTGGCCATTTGACGCCACACTGGTTAGGAGAAACTACGGAACCCTTACACTCAGGTAATAATATCATATACATATAAAACATCTTTGTTGAGCCAATGGTGAAACCGGGATTTGATAGGAAATAAAATATTACAGACATATTATGCTCATCTATGGGGAAATATTTTTATTGCAGAAAATTATTGAAATCTAGTAAAGTCTTCCTGAATATGTTTATTTTGAATAAGTGAATGTATAAACTATGTTTGGGAAGTAATATTCCCTATTACTTGTCAAATTAAATTGGTCTATCCTTGTAACAACTGCCAGTTTTTTAATGACATATTGCAATCATACTGTGATTACCTAATACCTATATTGTGCAGAGTCAAAACGTAACATATTTTTTCTGTGTGTATTCAAAATATGATTATTTTCCATTTCAAAATATACTATATAGTTATTATCAGTTGTTTTCTCAAAAAATCAAAATTTGGGCAAAATATATCCTTAAGAAATGTATTAACAAAGATATTGCAATTGAATTCATAATTATGTGTCCCTATAAAAAAAATATCATAAAAATAATTATAACTGTCATATTCAAAGATACAAATTCAAAAACATACTTTATCACAGATTTATTATACATTAATATTAAACACAACAAAATGTTGTATTATGTATTTTGTATTGACGTTGAAAGCGAACGTTTGCAATACATTATACGAGGCTTCGCGCCCATGCAAAAACATTAGCAATTGGCAGGAAGGGACTTTTTTACAGTGTTTCAGTAAAAAACAAACATGAAAATCATAAATATACATATACAATTTACTGTGAAGTCTAAATAAAATAATTTAAAAATTATTATGGCTTTTTAATAAAGCCACATCATTTTTCTGAGAAAGCGCGTATGCATAAAAATCGCAAAGTTTGTTATTTACATGTCACATCTTCAACATTGAGATAAAAATGCAAAAATCTATTTTGTTTCATATTTTTAAACTTAATTTTGACTATTAAAACTGTTTTTATTCCCAGAATTTTTATTTTTTATTATGACAATATTCAACTGAATTACATATGTACAAGTTTATTTATACGAATTGTATACACTTATGATAATTATGGCATGCCTTTATGTACATTATGATTAATAAAATGATTGTGGAATTGTAATAAATATGTTAATGTACATGCATTACAAAATGTTAAATAATGATGTATATCTAACATCACTCATCGAATAGCACAACAACTTGAACTAGAAAATATTATTTCCACTTTTAAGCAAAAACAAAAATGATCAAAAGCATAAGAATCTCATTTTTAGACAGATCTGACAATGATTTTGTTCTTAACAATAACTTTTTCCACTTTTATTTGACCTGTATTTTTACCCTATATTTTACCTATGTTTTCATTTTTTTATATAAATAAAGAAACATTATTTCTAAATTTTAACTCCATGTTTGATAAATTTGCTAAGAAGATATAGCTTAATCAGTGATTTGTTCATATTCGTTTAATTCTTTCTAAATTTGAAATATAAAACGGATAAAAGAAAATCACTTACAAAGCACCACTGCAGATAATGAAATACATGTAAAAATTTTGTAAAAAATATAAATATTTGAAATTCACTTTTCAATGGTGAAACACCTTTGCTTTATAACATTGTTCTGAAACATTTGAATAATATTTTTTTTTTGAAATTTAGAATATATTAACGCAATGCACTGTCATTGTTTGGCGCCTTTTAAGTCCGAAAACAAAAATATTTCTACTGCTCTAAACAAATCGAACATACTGTCCAGTAAGAGTTGCTTATATAGCGTTATTTTTCTGATTTCTTCTTCTTCCTGAGACGTGTCCATTCATATAATGTGAAAACTTCCTGATTCTTCACCGGTTCTCAGGCAGGTTATAAAGCATCACGGGGATGTCATCACTATGAAGGCTGAGATACGAATGTTTACTGAAGGTTTGATTTACATGAACCTGTATTATATCACCTTAATGCACTATTCTGTCCATCGACTGGCTCTTGGTTCGTGGATTTCAAACTTTGTTTCGTGAGTGAGGAGCCAGTTGTGAGATAATTGTCAAGTAACTGAGGTGCTGTCTCACGTGTGTCTGCCATTTGTTTATTGTTTGTCCTTGACACACACTCGTTTGAAAGTTCATGTTGTTTTATACAAGCACCAACGTCTTTGCTTGTTGCACTAACGTGAATTGCTAAATTTCTGTTTAAGTTATTACTTCCCTTGTTTCCATTCCGTGCTGCAAAATGTCCAAGTGGTTGTATGATTATACGTTGTGATCCCTGTGCTGGAACGCTGCTGTGAACTGAGGGTCTAGACACAATACAGTTTGTACTGGGAATTCTAAATATCTGTCCACTTGTCCGTGGAACCGTCTGACTTTCAGATCCACTCGGTAGCAATGATTGTGGTGACACTATAGCGCCTTGCGGTATACCGGGTCCTGGTTGCCTGACAATATTTATATTTGAATTTGCCAGAAGTGTATTAACTTGATTATGTTCTGTTGAGCTTTCAGAAACATTTCGGCTTCTACCTTCCTCACTTAGAATGAGATTTCTGACTTCTTCATTTTGAGGCCGACTTACTCTTCTCTGATTTCTGCTAACTCGTCTATTAGTTCGCGATCTATCCACTCCTAAATAGCTATTGGGAAGCGGACTTGGCATTCGACAAATGTCTTTTATTTCATCGGCGAAACAACACACTATGAATACTAGAGCAAAACATATCGCAAATGGTATGAGAAGAGCAAAGCTTAAAGAATCGAACTCCGCCATACCTATCAATTTTATGTTTGTAGTATTTTAGGCTGTTTAGATTGATTTAATAAATTAGTGTAGCAGATGTGACGTCTTGAACGTGTCTGTCTCTCCGCAGTTCTCCTTGATTCCTGAAAAAATAAAGAATTCAAACTTTTATTAAATTATCAAAGCTAACATTTTCTTCAGAATAACATACCGTATCTTCCAAAATCATGTGTTTGAAAATGAAAACGCATCCTGGGTCTAAAAATGAAAACTCAGTATGTTCTGTACGTTACTTAGTTACATGTATTTCAATAGTTCCAAATATGCTGAGACATAATCCGATATATCAAACAGGAAAATATATGAAAACAAAATTGATGTTATAAAATTAAAATAAAGTACATTTCCTGTGACAAATTTCATGAAATAAATTCAAGAAATGATATAGACACATCTCCTGCTAAGCCTTTAAATTGCAATCGTTATAAGTCGGTAAAATTCCATATATAAAAATTCCATATATAGTTTGAAATTACCCATTAGAGACATTTAATTGGATCAAAGAATTTTCCAGGGTCATGTCTTGGAAAAACTGTTCAGTAATAGCTTAAATGTACATTATGATGTGTAAATTTTCCTGTAAGCTAGAATTACAAAATGAAATTGTATAATTATGCACTATGTATGACATGCATGTGTTTGTTTAAATGGGTTTTTTGTTTAAGTTTGTCACATGCGCGTTTGTCACATGCGCGTTTTAATGCGTATCAGTTGTTTATTTCTTTCTTAATTTCTTTATAAATATCTATATATCTATTTTATAAATATTTATTAATTTATTAATTTATCTTATAAATTATTTATCTTATATTTAATATATTTATTTATTTATTTTTGATTGATTGATTGATTGATTGATTGATCGATCGATCGATCGGTCGATTAATTGATTGATTAATTGATTCTTTACATTCAAATGCATTTATTTATTTTTATTTATTTATTTATTCATTCAATGTATTAATTTTTATTCATTTATTTTTTTAATTTATTTATTTTCTCTATTTATTAATTAATTAATTAATTTATTTATTTATTCTATACAAATGAACTGTAGCACATTGGAATGAATGACTTTTATTCCATTGAACCGTTTTCATCGCAAAGTGATTATCTATCATAATATATTATACATACAAAACAGCGCTGTATATACATGTGATGATATATATGTAATTAATTCATAGTTAATCATTATTTTGTTTTATATGAAACATGTGGAGTAGATATTTTCATTCATTTACAATCTATTCAACGGTATGTCAAACGAAAACGAAATAAGATACAAAATACTCGTGTCACATTAGCATAATGTATAATATTCTAATTATTTAGGTTATAATGATTGTCATAAAATGCCATGTAATATTTCTGCTCTAAAATTTTAAAATCATAATAATGTATGTCTAAAAAGGGTAAATAGTACGTATAATAAATGTTACAATGGAAAAATCAGCACATTATCATAAAATCATATTTTGAGAGGACTGCATTTAATTATAAGTAATTAAAGTTCTATGAGAAAATGCAAGTTTAATATAACAAGCAAGGTTTTTCAAAATGATCTTATTTTTTTATATTTAATAACTCTACAAGTTTAATGACACGATAGTAATGGTAAATATATTTTTGTCTTATATTATTATAGCATGGATATAATTATAAGAATGAAATGATATTCATCTTCAAGGTCATGTGTATTACAATAAGTACAATAACGTTCTTTTCTAGTAAGCAGTAACTCTTCTCATACCATACCTTCCTGTTTGTATACGTAACCTACTTTTAACAACCTACTTTTCTAGTGTTCCCGATTCACATAAAATGTAAACTTATAAATTATACACCCAGGTGTTTAATGTAATGTACATTCTGATATCTGCCTTACAATACAAAGAGTATAAAATACATAGAAAAGTCTACATTGACACGACCTTGATCTTATTTATATATTAACCGAGATACGTAATATATATACATATACATAAGCATACACTCACATACTAGCATACCTGACCAACATAATTAGCATTTATCGGCACAGATGTAAACAAAACACATTTCATTCATTTATTCATAGGTAGAACACTTACTTATCAGCCAGACACTCACAACCAACAACAGTATGTTGCAATATTACATGGAACACCTGTTAATGTACTTTATTTGCCAACATCATTTCTATCATTTCCCCCCAGCAACAATTCTCATAGCAATTTGCAACTAAACCTCATTTTTACCAAAGGAATTTTCTGTTGCATGAAGTAATTATTGATTAATGATCTAAAACATATTCAAGAAGGTAAAATAATACTGAAAGATTGTTTGAAAACGAATCATATCTCTGGAATATATTACAAAAGAATCAAAATGTAATGATTCAAATATCTTTTAGTAAAACATCTGTTTTCAAAATGCATTTTCTGAAAACGTTAAAACAAATAGACTATAAACTCCAGAAAACAGAATCCCTAAAGAAAGCCCAACAGGGCAAAGTTGAACATGTTTTAAGCTCGGTTTGATTGAACCTGTTCAAGGGCGGTACTGAAAAGTGCAAGTTTACTGCACACGCCCCGTAGCACCGGCTTAAACAGAACATATTAAACTAGTAAAATTTTGAATTTTTAAACTTCAACAGGTGTGTTCATATAAACCATACATTAGCCACAAAATTAAACTTATATAAAATATCAAACTGTTTTTCAATCGTCCGAAAATAAAGATTAAAACAGCATTACGTTTAAATATGTACTTAAAATGTTTGTAATAAACTTCCGTTTACATGCGGTAAGTTATCGGTAAAATTCCATACATAACCGCAATAATCGATACGGTTAAAATGTATGTAAACATAATGTTACTACAACACCGCATGGAGAATGTGCTGAACATTATCCGATATTACCTAAAATACTTCTTTAATGATGAAGTAAAATTATGCAACATTTAACAACATTTGAGCCCTATGTTACTGTTAAACACATCTAAAATAGTTCGAGAAAAACAGTTTAGCTACAACTTGAATTGCTTCTTATGGAAATTTACACTCTCATCCATTCACTGTTGTAAAACATGCATTTATAAAATGCACTGAAAGACTTATATATATATACTGTAGTAAATCAAATGTTTCTGGTTAACTTTTATACATTTAAGCCCAAAAGGACAATTTAAGTGTACAAAGCGATATATCTGCTGAAAACAATATTGTTTAGATTTTGGAAAAGAATACTTCTAAAATACCTGACTCAAAGAAACGTGCATGCTTTTATTCCTTAAAAAGCCATCTTAGAAACATTGATTTATTAACTTTAAAAACCAACAGCCAATTTTTTATTTTTTTTTTCTTCCAAAACATTTAATTGTATGAACGTGCAATATTCATACATGTGTGTTAAAAAGAAGAGACATTCATTATGTGTGTACAACTGTTTCAAAATAGAATCCCTACGTCAAAAAACTGAAAATGTTGCAGGCTCGGTTTGATTGAGTCTGTTCATGGAACGGTAATTGAATGTACAAGTTACCGTCCATGCCCCTAGCACCGGCTTAAGCAGTATTCAACAATTAACATAAACTGGAAAAAATTTGATTTTTTTGCAACAAAAGTCGACCATAGTTATATGGAAAAAAAACATACTTTTACTAATTATATACTGTTTATAGATTTTATAAAAAAATATTTCATAGCATACAGCTTTATATCATTCACGCCTAAACTTAATAATATATTTCATATGTGTGAGTGTTTTTTGTTGTTTTCTTTGTTTTGTTGCTGTTGTTGTGTTGTTGTTGTTTTTGTTGTTGTTTTCCCTCTTTTCTTTCGTTGTTGTTATTTTGGAGGTGGGGTGCTATATACATTTTCAAATCTTTAGTCATTAGCCGTAGTTTTGCAGCTATTTGGCAATTATTACAATTGCACTGATTCGGTGTTTTGCATGGAAATAACTGTTATCTTTAACATATTGACATTTCAGGGTATTAGCATCTAATACGTTCTAAATCTATTTTTACAAAACCATATAATAATAAAAACTCGTGTTTGACCATTCTTTCAACATGTGTTACATTTAAACGCGAAAAAAAAATGAAAATAAGACATTCCAACAACCTACTTTAGCAATTAACTAAAATCATTGTCAAAAAATGTTTGCTTGTCGTACAAATCATATAAACATATGTTTGTAGCGCTGCATTGTTAACAAAATAAATACTGTTAAAATATTTTTTAAAAAGATGGCTCAGTCCGACATAAAACTTTTAAACAGGAACTATGAAATTTCTTAAATTTTATAACTTCTTTTAAAACATTTCTTAAGCAAACAAAAAACGTTCATTTTCTAAGTCAGAATTAAAACAATTAAGTAGAAAAGGAAGACACTACTTTCACAGAACCTGCATTTCATCTAGGCATGGCATAACATCTGGTATTTGGCATTGGTTCATCAAATCTATCTTTCTTAGTGTAAATAGTGGAACTGTTCAAAAGTACAATACAAGTCCAAATAATTAGACGCAAAAAAGTTATTTAGCATTAAGTATTAATCATTGTGACATTTTATATTAACAAGGCTTAACGTAACATGGAAAATGACAAATGTAAAATATCAGACTCATGAAAGAAAAGCATGAAATAGGTTACGTATAGATATGTCTTATAATTAGGGGAGATATTATTTTAAACCTATATAACATAACATTTACTTAACGTTATTATTATTATTATTATTATTATTATTTTTATTAACATTATTATGATTATTTTTTATTTAATTGCTCTTTTCATGCAGAAAGTTCATTCAAGGCAATAAAACAACTTGGATAGGTTATTCGAATCTAGGTACATAGGTTATACATATAGGTAAAATTTGTAATGGTATCTTAGGGTCAAACCAGGTCAAAATTGTGTTTATTCATAAAACCCGTCTGATGTTAATATAGTAAACAAAACTATGCATTTATTTTCAATATATTGTTTTCAACATGATTAATAAATCTGACGAAATTTACAGCTCTGGGAAAAAGTATTTTGAAAAAAAAATAATCAGTATAATTTAAAATGTGGCAATGTTCGTTTATTTATTTTTTTAAAAAAGGCGCGCGTAGAAATGATATTATTCAATAATCTTAAAGGTATTGATAAGTAGCCTTTTTAGTGTTAAACAATGCTTAAGTTTAACATTAAGACAATGTACCCGAAAACTACAATTCAACACAGACTCGTTAATGAAATTATCATACAGAATGCTACACAGGATATCGTAGTTAACTAAGATAAGATAACAGTCATAAAATTATCATAATTCAATGTACACAAACAAAAGGTAAAAGTATACTTACAATTCCTAAAATAAATCCAAAATGGAAGATTTCATTTGTTTAAAGAACAACTTTGCTTATAAATATTAGATAATTTCCAATGGGAAAATTCTGTTCATTCACTGTACAATAATACTATACTATTGATTCTAAAAATAGATTTGTGTTTGTACACAAGCTGGGGATTTTCCACTGAATTCTTCCACTGTCCTACATACTGTTTACCGTCATACTAAGCGTATGACAATATATTTAGTAAGCTGGAGAGGGTACCAGACTATGGCGGGAAACTTGAGGGTATTATTTACTACCCGATATTTGAACGATTTAAAAATTGTTGAAGTATACGTAGCGTATAAACGAAAATAGTTTTTTTGCGATAGATTAATAATAACATAATTTTTACAATTTTGTAGAACCAAATGTATCGAAATGTCAACTTAATTCAATGATTTAAAAGCGTAACTAGGTAAAAACTGTTCGAAAAAATATATGTTTTAATGTGCCCAAACATTCAAAAATATGCTCATTATGCAAAGAAACTACGGAAGATATAAAAAGAAGGCAATGTATGACATAACAAGAAATATCTTTAAAAACAGATACTCGGTCGAGATGAATCTGCCTTAACTTACATTTTATTATTCATGAAGAAATGTTAAATTTGAACTTAAACATCTGAAAAACTGAACTAGAAAGAGAAAGAACTTAAAAGTGTGAAAAATTTAAGAAGAAAGTTGTTTCCGGCACTTCTTTAGATTAATTTAAAAATTAGACACGTACACTTTTTCAGAATATTTTTGTTGTTTTTGTTGTTGAACACGCATGCGTTTCTAGCTGTGCAATAGTTTATGATGTTTTTTTCAAATTCCATGTCTGTTTACTTCCTGCAAAAAATGAAAAAGTGATTTATCAGAAATGGATACATAAGTAAATAGTAAATACGTAATAAGTGTGATTTACTTCATGAAAAATAAATCATGAAACACAAGGACAAACCGTAAAAGTAATATGTTTATATTTTTATTTTTATTGAAACGAGCACTGTATGAAGATGAAAATACGTGTGTACATATATATATATATATGGGAGCATGGGAAATAAAGTTTCCATGGAAAGACTGCTTGCTGCCCTATTTTCTAGACATCGTGTCATGGCTAAAGTGTATGCAGTTTATTTTAATCACACAGCTTACCTTCTTTTAAACTGCTCATATTTAAAATACGTGTTTGTTATACCTAACTTCTATCTATATCATTAAATGAGCAGCGACATGACAAAACCAACATAATGGGTTTGCGACCAGCATGGATCCAGACCAGCTTGCGCATCCGCGCAGTCTGATCAGGATCCATGCTGTTTGCTATCAGATTCTCTACTTGTAATAGAGTTTGTAAGCGAACAGCATGGATGCTGATCATACTGCGCGGATGCGCATGCTGATCTTGATCATGCTGGTCGCAAACGCATTTTATTGGTTTTGTCGTGACGCGGCTCAAATATATTTTCTGTCGTCATGATTGATACATTTGCTATCTTGAATTTAAAACTTACATGACAAATATTGAGGGAAACCCATGTATGCTTGTATATTCACTATATTATTAATTATAAATATAAGTACTGTTGTAACACTCGCTTTTTTCTTTCTTTTCTTTTTCTTTCCATCTTTTTTCTTTCTTTCTCTTTCATTTTTTACAATTTTAGATCTCAAATCTCACCTGATACATGTAACAAGTGTATATGTCCAAAAGTAATAGTGAGATTCGAAATTTATTTTATTTACTTAACCTTTTGAATTTTTATCAATATTATGAAAGGGAGTTTCAAAATATGTAACAGTATAAATAATTTTTCTCCATGCTCAACCTTCACTCCTGTTCAAAGATAAAAGGTGAGTAAATAGCTTTATGTTTTTTTATAAATAAGATATGTAACCATGACTTTATTACAAGATACGTGGCCATGGCTCTGTAAATGAATGTACGGATGATAAATCAGCGCAAGACATTGTTTTTTAACAAAGCGTATTTTTTTGTTTGTTTGTGTTATGTTGTGTTTTGTTTTGTTGGGTTTCTTTTGTTTTCCTGTTCGTTATATGGTCCTTTCTTCCTGTATATATTTGTATGACATTTTCTCGTAAAGCTGGTAGTTTTGTCCCTCATGTACCGATTCAATCAAACCAAGTCTGCTATTTTCATGTTATTTTGCATTTTTAAATGCTTCCGGGGATCACTTTTATCCAGATATTAAAGGGACTCCACTAGGAATTTTTTCTTTTCTTTTTTTTCTTCTTTTTCTTTTCTTTTCTTTTTTTTTTTTTTTGCATGACGAGGCTCCGAGATTTGTAAATCATTCGATGAAGGTCCCTAAAACAATAACTTGTGTGCAATTTTTCAGATCATTCTCTCTCCCCGTTTTCCAATATATTTTACTTGTCACTAAAAAAGAAGAGCATTGCAGCACTTTTCACTAAAATCGGGCTAACAACCCTTTCCAGATGTTACCATATTAAATGCTTCACTTGATTTATGTAAAAAAAAAAATCAGCATGAAATAAATCGATCAACAATTTCATGTCCATCCATTCAAATTAAAATTTATATACAATATAATTATATATTTTCATATAAAATTTCATTAATCAATAGCAGTCCACCATACTGGTTACTATAGATATATTTATTCTTTATTTGAGAATCATAGATCATAAACAACAATGTATAGCCTAAGAAGGATAACTCTTCAGCACATATAACCATGGTGTATATACATTGCAGATTTACCTCCCTTATTTATGCTTATTTCATTTCAAAAATTAATTGTTCTTCCTTTAAATTGTTGCGTTCTACCACCAGTTCATTTGGTTTATTGTCGCTTCGATAGCACTCCGATTCTGCTGTCAATGTCTCACAAGAAATATGAAAAGAATTAAAGCCTGATAATTCTAATCCTAAACTTTATAACCTGAAAAAAGAAAACACATTTTAATGTAAACATATATGCCTTAACATTTTAAATATATGATAAATTACCCGATAAACGATTGTCAGGCTTTAAAAAAGTTGCAGTTCATTCTGTTGAAGCCCAAAATCTGCTATGGTTCGAGGTCCAAAATAACACATTTTGTCTCCTGTAAATACAAGGGGCAACAGAAACGCCGTCTCTGCTTTAGTAACCCCTTATACATGCAAAAAACAAACAAAACTACTGGTTCTTCGTTATGAAGATGTTATCTTATTGTTTTAAGCTTTAAGTTTGTTACCACTGTAATATGGATTAATTTTAGTTCAAAATCACTGTTTACAAAAAAATGGCGGCCTTGACATTTAAAATAAACAGCGTGAGGTTTCTGGCCATGTTTTCGAATTTCGCAATGCTCACGTTAAAAGTCACAACAACAATTTGATGCTGAAATTGCATTTTATAGACAACCAGTCATGTAACAAAAATAGTCACAACACCCAAAAAATTTTCCCCTTTTAAATTTGAAGCTGTGGCTTCAAATTTTTCTCTTAAAGGAATCCACTTAGGCCCCTTAAAAAATTTAAACTAGATCACCGAACAATAAAACCCGAAAGATTGCAAAAAATTTTAAAAAAAATATACTCGGAAATAAAATGAAAATCGTATTTTTGTGATATTTTTGCCCTATTTGAGTAAAAAACGTTTTGGTCGAGACTAATATCAAAGGGAACACAAATCACAGAAAAATATTTCCTGTTCCGTCAGGTCGTAAAACCTCGCTGAAGTCCCTTTATAGTGTAGACGAAAGAACGAGTTACTAATGCTTTGAACTTTATATGCTTTAAGAAACCTCAGTAGAGTCCCTTTAAAGTGTGGACGAAAGAACTAGTTACATGTATATTGTATACTTAATAATGCTTTTAACTTTACATGCCTTAAGAAATCCCAGTGGAGTCCCTTTAAAGTGTGGACGAAAGAAAGAGCTATATTTTATACTTACTTACGCTTTTAACTTAACATGCTTTAAGAAACCTTAGTGGAGTCCCTTTAAAGTGTGGACCAAAGAATGCGCTATATTTTATACTTAAAATTGCTTTACATGCTTTATGAAATACTAAATACTAAGATTTGGTAATGTTTAACGGCATATTATGCTCAAGAAATAATAGATTTTTCTTCATAAGAAAGGTCACACTTGATTTTCATAACGTTTATATACTGGTATTTTTTAGCATTTCAGATGCTTATAACCTGAATAAATCAGCTCTGAATGTGACATTATTTGTACAAAAGTAGTTAAATGTAAACAAAATAGTAGTTTGACTTCCATACAAAATACTTAATTGCTACAAGTGTACTATTTGCCAAATGACAACATATGAAAAAAGTGGCTCAGGTAATTGGCCAATGAGTAACTTTTTTCAAAATTGTAATTAATAAACACAAACAGTAAAAAGACTTTGAAAAATAAAAATAAAAACATTTCTGGGACATAATGGCCCTAATAACGTTTAATGTTATCATAATGTACGTAATGCAATATCATCTAATTTTTATGTTAATTACTTTAAATGAGCAAGTTTTCCTTCTTCTTTTTAAATAATGGAAAAGGAGTCCATCTTTGGATATGATAGCTAATTAAACTCATCGACAAAATTGATTTATTTTATAAAAACACTTATAATTATTTCAACAATCCATGTTCAGACAATATTATCCTGGGTAAATATTTGCATTCATGTGATGGCCATGAAAGTATTTTAATTGTTGACATAGGTATAATACCAAGGTACTTGAGCCATCGAGAAACCATCTTAGATATCGATTTAAAACAAACAAATATGTTTGTAATATATGTGTATCACATTGTTTGTACAAACACTGTCCAGTTTTCGACACATTAGAACATTTTGAAACCCTAAACGTAACCATGCAAACAAAACAAAAGTGTCTTCTTAAGGTTAATGGATAATTTCAGAATATTTGCCCTGTCGTACTTCATAGTTTTTAGAAATTGATGTCCTAGTAATTCGAAACCAAAAGCTGTAGTTCAGAAATATGAGATTTCTGCATGTTTTCTATTTTCAACGTTACAATAACATCCTGATGTCTGTTTCGTTTGATTTTGATTTTTCTTTCTTTCTTTTTTCTTTTTTCTTTCTTTCTTTCTTTCTTTCTTTCTTTTTTCTTTCTTTCTTTCTTTCTTTCTTTCTTTCTTTCTTTCTTTTCTTTCTTTCTTTCTTTCTTTCTTTCTTTCTTTTTTTCTTTCTTTCTTTCTTTCTTTCTTTTCTTTCGTTCTTTTCTTTCTTTCTTTCTTTCTTTCTTTCTTTCTCTTCTTTCTTTCTTTCTTTCTTTCTATGCTTTATTTCTGTCTTTCTTTATTTCTTTCTTTCTTTCTTTCTTTCTTTCTGTCTTTCTTTTTTTATTTCTGTCTTTCTTTCTTTCTTTCTTTTCTTTTCTTTCCTTCTTTTCTTACTTTTCTTTCTTTCATTCTTTCTTTTCTTTCTTTCTTTCTTTTCTTTCTTTCATTCTTTCTTTTCTTTCTTTCTTTATTTCTTTCTGTCTGTCTTTCTTTATTTATTTCTTTATTTCTTTTTGTCTTTCTTTATTTCTTTCTTTCCTTATTTATATTCTTGCTTTCTTTCTTTTTTTCTTTCTTTCTTCATATATTGACAGTCAATCCATATAGCCGGCTTCTCTGGAAAACGAATCTGAAATTTCATTATAATGTATTTTAAGTTAAATATAAATTTTACGCATTTTAGCTTAGTAGAGAAAACAAAATGTAAGCATACCAATCACTTATTCAAGTCTTTTTCTTAGACTTTCTATGGCTTGTAGCATATTATATATCAAAAGGTCCCCGACTTCATTTATCATGCAACTGCCATGGCATTTGCCTGAATGCCCCACCTCTTTCAGCTCATATCAGCCTCGCCTGGTAAAATTGATATCAGTACCTTGTTATTCTCTATATATTTTGCTTATCTGAGTTAATTTTTGAAAACAAAGCTTAAAGTAAGTTGGTACATAATGGAAAGTACACTATTATACTCTTAATAATTATTGTTTAATAGTATTGAGTATCATAAACAACTAATAACGAAATAAATATGGATGATGGTGATGCATTGTCCGATACTGCATATTAATTATCAATACTGCACGTTTGTCACGTCGTCGCTTTTCATTGGATAATCGTGACGTTTATATTATTAGCTATAAAGATTGTTGACAGGTTGTATGGCCCTATATAAACGGCTATTTGGGTTATATTTACAAATGGCCGTTTATATAGGGCCATATAACCTGTGAACAATCTTTATAACTTATGATATATACGTGTACCTATAATAGAGTGTTCCAGAACAAAATTTTAGTTTTCTTCATATAAATGTTCATTCAAAATCAGTTTAAACTAGATCAACATTTTTTGTTCAAGAGATATTTTATAAGATTATGATGCATTTCTATTGTTGTTTGTTTGTTTTTGTTTATTTTTCTTGTTGTTGTTTTTGTTTTTATAAATATTTTAAATATATTTTGAAAACGTTCAGATCGCAGACCACTTTAACCCGCTGCATGCATATGTCTGCCAATCTTCCTTAATGTTTTCTATTTCTTTTTTTTCTGTGCTTTCTTTGCTTTCTTCTGTTTTTATATAAGTTTTGTTTTCGGTCAACACAAACCTTAAGATGTTTGCATTCCTTATCTAATAATAAAGAAAAATCCATATTTAAAAGTTAATCTGTTTGTTCAGTGAAAGGTGTAATTTTATTTAAGCAATTAAGAATATTTATTTTATCACATTATCAATTTGAATATATGGATTCAGTTTTCCATCAATTATCGGTATTTTTACACTAAAAAGTGTAGTATTATTTATCAAAACAAATGTAATTATATGATAAATTGGAGAACGTATTTATGCATGTAAGAAAGTGATTTATTTTATAAACTGGTCATTAAAACAATGGGTTCGTTTGCGGGACATATTGACGAAGGAATCGCTTTCATCATTCTTGCCTTATGGTGGATGGTCAACATTTTCCGGGAATCATTAAAGGTACGATCAGAGCTTTTTTTTTCTTTTTTCATATCATAATAAAAACATAATATTATTTAACATGACAATAATTAAAAAGAAAATCTTTTCTCGTGCTTTTTTGTTAGTCTGTTTGCAATTTCCAGTATCGTCCATAACAGTCTCAATCAAACCGAGTGTGTACTGTTAAAGGCCCGTTAAAGGCTCAGTATATCACAGATATGCTTTTTAATTCTCAGAAATTTTTATTTTAGGTATTTTGTTATAGCTTCCAAAACATTACTCATTTGCCATATAGATGAACTAACATTTGCTTCTGTTGCTTTATTTACATAACATAACATAAATTTTATTTAACATAAAATTGTAAACATACAATATATAGTCAAATCATATTCTGTATAGTGTAAAGTGTTACAAGTTACAATTTTATTAGCAATTAATATTATTATAGTAATTTAAGACAAGATACTACTTTGTTTACATTTTGCTACTTTTAACACACATTTATGCGAGTTTAACTCTACTTTCTTCATTTGTTAAACATCTTACATGCTCTAGATCCATTACTAAAACATTTTAAACAATTATTGTTTGACATTTCTTAAGAATTGAAAAAAAAAAAAAAGATTTCTGAGGCATGATCTGCCTTTAAACACCATTTTTAATTTTGCCTTTTAGGTGGTCATTTGGGGATAAGGTTTTACAATATTTCGTAGAATTTCGCGTGCGCTTTAATTTAGGCATATCTTCACAATAATTCACGTAATTTGGTAATACATCGATTTTTGCAAGTTACCTCCCTTGCATTGTCCACTTAAGGTACGGCTTGGATCAATGCAACAGACGTATGCTGTGAAATACCAGGTGTAATTATGTCGATAATACTTTATTTCACATACCTTATTAAGTATTCATTTATATTCTTAAAATTTCATAAAGTAAGACTGTAGACAATTATGTCTTGAAATAATAAAGAAATATGAAATTGATTTAAAAGAATTGACTTGTCCATAACAGACTCAATTAAATTGTCCCTGCAACATTTTCAGTTTTGTCGTTTTGGGCTTTTTTCGGAGATTCTGTGTTATCTTTATTGTATTGTTGTTAAAATGGTTGTAGTTGTACAAATTTGAAAACATATTGTCTAGTACAGTATTGTCTGACTATGCATGTATATCCTTTCTTATTTCTTTATAATTTTGTGAATGCTTTACATATATCATTCGTAATAAGATTTATCACTCTCATCATCCCTATGATTTCTTTCTGTAGACAAATCATCAGCCGGAGCTCTATCACTCCCAGATATCATATACAATAAGGATAAAAGGCAAAGTTGTTCCTCTGGAGATATTTCTAAAAATATTGTTTCCGCTAGGAGGTAAGTTTGGTTTTACGGCGCACTAATACAATTGAGGTTATATGATCAAGAAAGATAATTTTGGCTATCCTCATGTGTTATAAACTAAGAGCAACAGCAGGGGTCAAAATCACTTCACCTACTGGACCTAAGGTAGCACCTCACAGTTAATTTCAAGTTCCTGCCGTCAATGTCCTACAAGCAATACGTCTATTAATTCTGATACAAAACTACACAACCTGGAAAAAGAAAAAAACATTTTGTTAAGAACATAATTATATGACATAAAATTGCAAATCTACAAAGAAATTTTCCCATCTTCAATAGGCAGGCAGTCAAAAAAGTTGCAATTCATTCCGTTGAAGCCCAAAATCTTCAGTGGCCCGAGACCCAAAACAACACATTTCGTCCCTCTGGCAAAAAATACCTGCAAATATACAGGCTAAAGGAACACCGTCTCTGCTTTAGCAACTCCCAATACATGCAAAATATCACAAGGAAACTGGTGCTCAACCTTGTAGATTTTTTGCTACTGCTAAAAGTTTGTACCCCCATGTAAAATGACTGGTTTACCGTGCATGCTGTTTAAAAGCAATGTTTACAAAAATGGCGGCCTTGACATATATAATCAACAGCATGTGATTTCTGGCTATGTTTTCGAATTTGCCAGTGATCATATTACTAGATGTCACAAAAACAAATTTCATGCTGAAAATGCACTTTAAAGCCAACCAGTCATATAAAGCCAGAATATTTACTATATCCAAGATATCCTCCCTGGCCATTCGAAGCTGTGTCTTACATTACTGTGGTGTGCTACCTAAGAGATGCATAAACTCCAGTAATTCGAACCCAAGTCATTTCTTACGAGCATGTAGTGCTAAACGGGGGCTGCAATTCTGATGCATCAACCCTCAAAGGCAACCCACTCATCGTTTGTACGGTTATTATGATCGTCTTTGGTAACTTCTATAACTGCCCTAACTGCCCTTTGACTTTTAAGTTGACTGTGATCTGTTTCTTGAATTCTTGGGATACAAAATTATCCCACTTTAAAGAAAAGCTTAAAACCTGTCAAAAATACACCAGGAGTTGGCCTTTTATTCGAATCTGGCTTACATTTCCTCTGTATATACATGTATTTCGTTTCACCGAGTAGTAAATCTCATGAATCAATTTTTCAATATAACATAGCTATTTTCTTTTTCTAAAAATTGTGTATTTGATTTAATGTACTTTAATAACCATGTATTTTCTCTTATATATGTATGCTTGAAAATGATAGAATATGTAAATAAAACCTGAAAACTTGTATTATTTTAGGTTTTGCGGCGGAGATTATCGATGCCAAAACATTTGTAAATGAGGATGGGAATTTCTCCAATCTTTCGGACCTTCAGCACACGACAATTTACATGTTGTTTGTTATACATGGAATCACAGATCTTCTAGCGCATTATCGTCTGCCGCAAATCAAAAACGCCAACTATTTTACGATGATCGTGTCCTTTTTATGGTAATGTTTGTTGTTATTGTTGTTTTGTGTTGTTGTTTTTTGTTGTTGTTTTTTTGGGGTTTTTTTTTTTTCAAATACGAACTATCATAATGTCATTTCGAAGAATTTTTATATGTATGTACACTTTTTGACATCGATTATCTAAATTGTATAGAAATGGTCTATCAAATTTGTTTTGAATTGCCAAGTTGTACCTTGTTTTTGTTTTCCATTTAAGAGCCAATCCTTAAACAATTTCTGAAATGAACTGCTAAATGGACGCTATGTCAACCTTGAAAGATAATTATTTTTACAATATGTTCTATAATGAATTCGAAATACATTGTATTGTAAGAAATATTATCTTCCCTCGCCGCTTAGGGTTCAAATTCCGACAGCTGCTTTGGATTATTTTATGTAAGGAAGCTATCAAGCTAGCCTACGGCACGTCGGTGTTTCTACTCAGGTGACTGTTCGTGCTTGAAATAATGCACGGAGTGGCAAGTGAGGTTTTCATCCACCAGTAAAGCTGGAAAGTCGCCATTTGACCTGTACTGTGTCGGTGCGGCGTAAATCCCAACAAAAAGGCAATATTAGCTGTGCCACTGGTTCTTGCTGCCGGGTAGTGTGGGAGTTGCGTTCATTGAACGCCGCCTTTCCTTGTTTATCTTGTTTAGCATAATTTACCTTAGAAATAACATTCGTTCTCTGTAGGTATGGGACAGCTTTTTACTTTCATAGTGAGCCGGGCATGGGGAAGCCTCCTTTGGAAAACATGATACACAGGTAATTAGAATTAAAAATACGATTTAAATTTTCATCTGAGAAATTTTTTTAACTTTTTTTTTTGGCTTTCTTCTTAAGGCCAGTGATCTTGGAGTTTATGCCCCCTTGGGTCCGAAAGGAGGGTTTTAAAACCCTGGTTTTTTTAAAATTTCCGAGGGTACCCAAAATCTTTTTTCCCTGTTCGGGGATATGAATATAATGTGTGGGATAGTTCGCCGTTAAGCTAAACAAACAAACAAACAAATATATGTACGAACTCCAGTGGATATCCTTTAAAACATGCATATTTCAATTTGATTGTGTAACATATTTTTACAAAATGACCTTCAAACTGGAATATGAGATGAACAATATTGTTTGTATAATAAAGAAAATAAGCTAAGGCTTACTCAAAATGAATTATAAAGCAATACAGCTGATTTATTATCTTCTTTAAAGAAACTATACGTCATTGGTTTTATTTATTTATTTATTTATTTATTTATTATTTATTTATTTATTCCTGCATTCATTTTTTTTCATGGTGAAGTTTTGAAGTCTCTTATATCCTTACTTGACAACTGAAGCCACTTTGTAACGATACAAAGAAATGAAAGTGAAATATAAGATATATAACGCGACATCGAGCTTTATATTGGAAGTTTATTTATTTATCTATTTTTTTTATTATTCTTTTAACTTGATCTTTCAAATTATTTCTACGTTGCAAATCTTTGGTTAATTCGTTTATTATATTCTTTTACAAATGCATTTAACTGTTGTTTGTTTTCTTTTTCCTTCTTTTCTTAGGCTCCCCATTCCATTTACGTTGTTAACAAGTTGTGCTGTTTTAATTGAAATGAATCAACGTAATGCTGTGTTACCTCAATTATTACGATGCTTTTGCGTTTTGACGTTAGGGACGTGGTTTACGTATTCGTCATTTGTTTTGTTTCTACCATATCCGTTTCCGGGTGAGTAATAAGTTGTGTTTCAAACGTTGATAGTGAAGAAGTGAATCAAGTTCTTGGTAAACACCTTCATTCGTAGGTGCTTAATACGGACCAAATCGCTAAGAGGTCCATTATGTTTCAAAATATTTTGCCGTTAAATGTCGTAATGGTGTTAAACGTCGCACCATTTTCCATTACCATAAATTTTATAACACTACCATTATGTGCAATTCAAAAACGGGGTTAAATGTCAATTTTAACGTTATTGGTGATTGGGCTAGCTATCTGGAAGATGGGAAAGATTGTGTATGTTAAAATTAAGGTTTTTTAAAATTTTTAAATCTTAAAAATTTAAAACATAAAAGTTAAAGGCAATTCTACATTAATAGTAAAAAGCGGATTAAAAAATTGTATAAAGAATTTTTTTTTAACTGAAAAATGAGTTTAGATCAAAAGCTTGTGTAAATATGACAACATTTTACAACACTGCACCTTAACACTGCTCGAACCGAAATGAATTTACCAGTATAGAGAGATGCATATTAACCAGGATGCCCATCCTTGCAGACTGAACCGGCTCTGTACTTACGGCTGACTAACTTTAGAAAATTATACCTTGATATTCCCAAATTGATAGACAGTTCTGAAACAATGGAAACTTGAAAAGTGCATTTTACAAATTCAACATGTTAAGTCTAACCAATGTCAGAATGTATTTTTCTTGCAGACCATCACTTTACCTTTTCTATTACATATAAGATCAGTGCGGATATTGTGGAAATCCGACGCGTTTTTTGGCAAAAATGCCCACGGTGCAATATTTGCAAAACAAGTGTTAAATATATCTCCCCTATTTAATGCATTAAAAACGTTTTAGAAACGTTCATGTTCTGCAAAAATAAACCCATTCTATTGTTGGTGCAAAAACCCTTATGTTTTTTCATGACACGGCTCATTATAAATCTTGCGACATGAATCGGTAGTGTTGCGACATAATAAGGCAAGGGAACATCGTGCCACATTTAGCGTTACCAGATAAGACAACCAGATACTCAGCGCCAGGCTTGGTACTAGCCAGTTAACAAAGGTTGTAATGATCGTACTCAGCCGTTAGATGCGTTTTATTCTGATTGGTCCATTATTGAGTTGATATTTCCGTAATGATGTAAACGAAACGCAGTCAAACTTACATCAGATAAAAGTTTAAAATTTGGTGCTATATTTTTATTTTTACTTATCTTTTGTTCTCCAGGAAGCCATCACAATCCAGCTTGGGACCAAGACGATGAAAGAAATGTTCATTTTATTGTTGCGGCGTTTGGAATTCATCTCATTGTAAATCTCACATTCATGATGACGTCATATATTGTCATGGTTGTATACCGGAAGTTGTTCGTAAATTCGCGTGACCTGACTGATGAAAATAGCATGTGCAAGTATAAGATCTTAGACAATAATGTGGATGATTTAGATTATGATGATTCGGTCTATAAAGATGATGCTGTGTAGACGACCATAACGCTGTAAATTTTGTCTAAAAAAACCAATTCCTTCCGGACTCACCCAAGATTGGATTTTTAAATTAAATGAAATTTGTTTTTTTTTATTTTTCTTTTTATTCGCCTGTTTTATAAAATTTTTAAATCATTGAAAACGTTTTTTAAAGAGGACAAAATGTAATAAATGAAATTTAATTAATTCAAAAAAAATTTTGTTGAACTAGAAAATTTTTGGGTCTTCAACTTTTAAGTGACTGCTAACGCTAGCACTTTTTAGTTTTATTAAATCTTAATTTATCTTTATTGGGGTTTACTAATAAAATCCTATCCCATGATTTTGTCTAAGAATTCGCGGAGGGTGTTTTGATGTCTATTTATCTGTTGTTGTTTTTATGTTTATAATTTTGAACTCTACGGAGTGTCCTTTCGTGTCTTTTGTAAAATTCGCGGAGGGTCTGTAACTGTATTTTTAAAAACAATTCGCAAAGATTCATGTTTTTATTCGAAATTACGGCTAGCTTATTGATACGCTGTTTGTTATCAAATCTTGAAGGTTCTTGTGGCTTCTGATTTAAATTTGTAGAGAGCATTTGTTGGTTATGGATTCTTCGGGAACATACAATTTCCGTAGATGAGCAATCTAGCCACATTATGATTATTCCATTGCAAAATAAGACACTACGGTTGAAGGGGTAATAAGGTAAAAATAGACAATAACCAGAAATAGATGGCGTTATACCATGAATTCCATAAGTTCCAATTTGCTCATATGAAAATAACCTTTCTGAGTATATGTAAAAATAACCACAATAACACATCAACAAATCATTCTAAAATTGATCATTTACCGTCGTATAGGACATCAAGTGTTAATATTTTTTTCATGCTAATAAAATTATAATTCCTCTGACAGAAATAAATACATACGTTATTTTATTTAAATGTAAACATTTGTCCCTAGGAGTGTCAAATTAAGTCTTATTTTGCGATGTAAAAAGTAAACAAAATCCATCCTCTTTGTTTTTCTGTAGCATGATGTTCTAAGTGCAGAAGCTCTGAAAATTTTGCCATTGTTATCACTGCTTAACCAATAACGCAGTCTTATTGTAATGTAAAATGTTAACAAAATCCACCCTCTTTGTTTTTTCTGTAGCATAGTGTTCTCTATGCAGATGTTCTGAACATGTGGCCGTTGTGGTCACCGTTTAAGCCATAACGCAGGTCCTCAATTGACTTTTTTTTTAATTTTAATTTTATGTTAAAAAATAGGTTAAGCATTGATTACGTTTTACAATATTGGCAAGCCACTTACAAAAAGTTAACTTACAAAAAGTTTACAGTCCTGCAAGCACGCTATTTCACTTTCAATATATCAATGATATTAACATATTATCAGCATATTTACATGCACTTTAGATTTAAAAAAGATGACATTGGTTTCATTTGTAATAGGCTGATATCATAATCAGTATTTATAATTTACTTAATTTAAACAAAATGGAAATTAAATCTTTAAACTTCAAACGTTTAAGGCGGTGTATAATTTTTCAGTTTGAACACTTTCATTTAAACAACATGGTTGAAATGTTTTTGCAACAAGAAAAATATAATAAAAAAACCTCTAAACATGAATCCATGTATGTGATGAAGAGGACTTCCGGTGTTTTTTTATCGTAAATGATCCTTTAAGACTTTGCCTAATCCATGGAGAGTTATCTATGTTTTTTATTTTATTTTTTTATTAAATTTTGCAGACGATCCTTTACTGTAGGAGGGTTTTAATTTCGGAGAAAGGGGGATGGGCCTCATGATGTATTATTTAAAATTCATGGAGGATCTTCTTAACACTAAATCGCAATGGTTTAGAATTTGAAAAAACAAATGCTTTAATCGCAAGAGATGGTTATTTTTGTACATTTTTAATTTCTTGAGAATAAAATAGATATCTGTATTTGCTTCACATTATACATGTGCAGTCTCTGGACCATAAATATTTGTTACCGTTCAATCTACTTAACTGTATTTAAAAGTATATCAACTCCTTACACACTGAAAACACAGAACAATAGAGCGGTGGGATTAATTCCAATCTACAATACTTTTGAAGGAGTAACATAGAAAATAAAAACTGAAATAAACGCGCGAATACCATAAATAGCCAGTCTAAAATTATTATCATGTTAATAATCGTTCAGGATTTATATAAAAATAACCATCATGACACCGCACTTTTGAATTAGCAAATTAAGATCGTTATTGACATTCCCAAATTCACCACATTATCTACTGATACCTTTTTAGAATGTTTACAGAATTGAGCGTCCTTTGATTAGCAGCTTTCACATTAGTTTGTACACAATTTCTTATAATGGAAAACAACAACCTATGTAAGGTCAGTTCTAAATATTGGAACCCATCCCGCTAATAAACAATAGATAGAGAAACATGTAACAAAATAGTAAACAAGCATGGTGCCAGCATGCCTGTTCCGCCTGGCATTGGTGTGTTCAACTGTGTAGTTGTTGAGCTGCCAGCACTTGTCAACGTTGTAGGGTCTTTATAAGTGGGCAAATTCTTTGTAAAATGTTATTATATTATAAAAAAACCATTAATGCTGAGCTAGAAATATGTTATTCAACTTTTATATGTAACTGCTACACGACTGGTGCTTTTCATGTTTTAAGTGCTAATATACTAGTTGACATAATAAAATCCAATCCTATGTTTTTGTTTAAGAATTCGCAGAGGGGATTTTGATGTTTATTTGTTTGTTGTTGTTGTTTTTGTAAATATAATTTTGAACTATACTAAGTGTCCTTCCGTTTCTTTTGTAAAATTCGCGGAGGGTCTGTAATCGTATTTTCAAAAACAATTCGCGAAGGATTATGTTGTTTTTGTTCGAAATAACGGAATGTTTTCTGATACCCTTTTTGCTATTAAATCTTGGAGGTTCTTTTGGATTCTGATTTAAATTTGCAGAAAGCATCTGTTGGTGTTCTCCGGGAGCATACAATTTCCGTCGATGAGCATATGAATATAGTAACATTATGATTATTTCTTTGCGGATATTGTTCCAAATTTAAGACACTATTGTTGAAGGTGTAATAAGATAAAAAGAGAAATCAGCCAGAAATAGATGCCATTGTACTATATATAGTCCAAATTTGTTATTTTGACATTTCAAGATATATCTAAATATAATCATAATTGCACAGCAGTGAAGGAAGTTCAACAAACATTCTAAAATTGATCATTTACTGTCATATCCGGGCATCAAGTGCTAATATTTTTTTTTCATTCTTACAAAATTTTAATTCCGTTTGGTTCGCACTTCTGACCAAAATAAATACATACGTCATTTTTTAAATGAAAACATTTGTCCCTATGATTGTCTACTTACTGTCGATTCAAATATAATCGAGTTTGGGAAATCTTCAATTTAAAAGTACATAGGGTTGGCAGGAAAAAATGCCATACATGTATACGAAAACGTATTACAAGGAAACGTGGTGATTGAATATTATCTGGCCTGATAGTGTAGTGGTTAAGGTGCTTTGTTTTGCATGCGGAAGGTCTTAAGTTCAAATCTTATAACGGGTAATACCTTTGGTATTTGTTTTACTTGCTATTTTATTCACATGTTTATATATTTTCCATGTTTTTATTCATGAGAATGATAAAGCATATATAATATGTTACAATTCAATTCAACAATTCAAACAATGCCTTCAACCTCTGTGGTACACTCAGTCGCGCTGGCGCTGGCATATTCGTCTCCAGTGCTAAGAGAGTACCTCAATAGGTGATTACCACAGAGACATGAATGGTGAGGTTTTCATCAAGTGGCCTACTCAAAAGCTAATCACTAATCTTCCAGCACACACTGTCGTGACCTTATAACACTTTTGCAATGACAAGTTTCTAACGAAATAAAGTACGAAAAGTGTGATGACGTCCCTCTTACAGCGCCATAACATACACCTTAACCAAACAGCTCCGGACTCGCGTGCTCACACTAAATAGATAATTTTCGTGTCACTTGAGTTGAATTGTATTAAACACGAGATTTTTAATAATCTCGTATTTGGCTGAAATTATTGATTCTTATTATAACTTTTACTTATAAGATACTATTATTCACGTCTTTTCGAGACAGTAATGGTTTCCGAAAATGTCGAATAGAAATTTTTTTATCGTGTTTTTTATATGCATGACACACATTTCGATGCCTTGGTGCGAAAGGGTTGTAACTCAATATTTTGAAATTATTCAGGAGAGACAAAAAACTTATTTATTCTTTTACATTCTAATAAAGTCTTCTTTAATTTTGCTTTTTGGCTTTAATTCAATTACTGATATATAATTGATTGGAAAGGTTATTTTATTTTGTTAGCATAAAGAGATAATTGATAAAGTTTCAGTTACAACCCTTTCGCACCAAAAAAATCAAAAATTTCAAAAAATGATTTGGTGCGAAAGGGTTGTAACTCAATTTTTGCTTTAAATTCTGATAAATGTAATGGGTCAAATGGACAGATCCAAGCTTAGTTGTGTTAAGTATGAACTAATTTAACATATTGCCTGGATATTTCAGTGAAAAACCTTCAAATTATATGTTTTTAAAATATAATTTCAGTCAAATTTTTTTTTTTAAGAAATTCACTTTATATATAATATTTTTTTCCATGTGACACACAGTTCAGATTGTCAAACCCATCATAAGTAGTTAAGTACCAAATACGCATTAACATGTATGTTTTTGCAAGAATCAAAGGTAAATTTTTCGCAATTCAAAATGTAAACTGGTACATAATGACAAAACCATCTAAGACACATTTATTTTTGTTAATATAAGCCTTTAGAAAATGAGAATATTCTTATCATAATCAAGATATATTCTTTTCTTAATTTGAAAACTTAGATAATTCCTAGGATGTGCTTTTGTGTATAAATTATATTATTTAAGCATTATCCAGGATCTTCTTTACTATTAAGCCAAAAGTATGAGAAAGATGATAAATA